TGGCAACCAAGGGTCAACCTTAGGTGTCTTTCCTCAGGTGCCACCCACCTTATTTTTTAAATGTTATTTTAACTATTGTGTTTGATGTAGGAGAGGTCTGCTTGTGACAGCAAACAGTGGAGGGCAGTGGAGTTGGTTTTCTCCTTCTGCTTTTCGTGGGCTCTGGGGATCAAACTCAGGTCATCAGGCTTGTATGGCAAGGGCTGTAAATTGTCTGCCGAGCCATCTTGCTGGTCCACTTTGCTTATTGAAATTTGTCATTTTTATTGTTGTTGTTTTGAGACAGGGTCTCACTATGTAGCCCTATCTAACCTAGAGCCCTCTATGAAGACCAAGCTGGCCTCAGACTCACAGAGATCTGCCTGCCTCTGCCTCCCAAATGCTGTGATTAAAGGTATGTGCCACCATACCTGGCCTGCTTTTTTTATTTTTAAGAAGGTTTTTTAAATTTTTAAAAAAATTTTTTATGTGTATGAGTGTTTACCTGCATGTATGTAAGTGTGCCTGTACATGCAGTTCCTGTAGAGGTCAGAAGAGGGCATCGGCTCCCCTGGAACTGGAGTTACAGACAATTGTTAGCTGTCATGCTGGTGCTGAGAACTGAACCTAAGTCCTCTGCAAGAACAGTCAGTGCTTTTAACCCCTGAGCCATCTCTCCAGCCTCTCACCTTGCTTTGTTAAGACAGGATCTCTCACTAGCCTGGAATTCACTGATTCAGCTAGACTGACTGGCTAATGAACCCCAGGGGTCTGCCTATCTCCACCTCTACAATGCTGGGGTTATAGACCTGTGCCTGTGTGCTCAACATTTTTACATGGGTTCTGGAGTTTTAATTCAGGGCTTCTTGTTTGCAAGACAAGCACTTTACTGGCTGAACCATCTCCCTCGTTTTTGTTTTGTTTTTTCTTTTTGAGATAATCTTGCTTTGCAGCGCAGGTTAGCATCATTTTCACAGTCTTCCTGCCTCGGCCTCTTTAAGTGCTGTGATCACAGGCAGGGGCCATTATATCTGGATTGTAGTCCTATGGTGTTTACCTGGGGCCTGTGTCCCTGTTGGTTGTCCTCTGCAGACAGAACTGTCTATCATCCACTGCTGAGTCTCTAGAGGTGAGAAGACCCCTGGGGCAGAGGGCCACTCACTGATCTGGGGGAAGGAGGAAGGCAAGCCGGCTGGGAGGGTCAGGCTGTGCTCAGCTGGGGGACCCTTGGCCCCTAGTGCAGCATAATGTAGCCCGGTGGGGCCTCTCACCATTTTTCTCTTAAAGGAAGAAAAAAAACCAAACAAACAAAAAAGAAACCAAACAAGAGTAACCCCTTTGCATGCCAGCTGGGTGTGGGGGCTGTGAGAGAGGCCAGTGTGCACAGAAGGATGGCCCTTTGTCCTCTGGGTAGCCCTGGATGACACAATGGTTTCCTCTGACACGATGGAGGGGGGTCCCTGAGGCTTGAGGCTTCTGGGTGAGGGAGGGTGGTCACAGCAGAGGGTCCCTCTTCCCTTTGGTCATGTCTCAGGGCAGGCACGCTCACCCTATCTTTAGGGATGGGCCTTAGAAAGTTGGCGGATGCACTACCACAGTGGCTTATTCAGAATACTGTGTTCCTAGGGGCCCTGTGCTCTGTGGCCTCCCTCCCACTTGGGGTAGCCACTGGGGACCTCCCTTGCTTCCTATGCCGCAAGGAGAGAGACTGAACCATTGACTGACTACTCATGGACAGCCCTTGTATCCTTACACAATTCTCCCCAAGCCCATCTGTGTTCATGACTCAGTCTAAGGTGACACATGGGGACAAAAGTTCAATGGATGCAGAGTGGCCCTGGGGATCTGCTTTCAGTAATACCTGATGCTGCTGAGCCACCAAGTGCCTCTGTCACACAGTGAATGCCATCCCAGACCTTGCCAGAAACAAACAAGGCAGATCAGTCACAGTCACACTCAGTTCGAGAATGTTCCTGATGTCTGAGCATGGTAGTGCACACCTGTAATCCTGTGCTTGGGAGGCTGAGGCAGGAGGATTTTGGCAAGTTAGAGTCCAGTATGGACTACAGAGTGAGACACTGGGTCAAAAAAAAAAAAAAAAAAAAAAACTGGAGATATAGCTCAACAGTAGAGCACCTGCCTAGATCCCCCAGTGAGGGGCTGGGGTGTGGCTCAGTGGTAGAGCACCTGCCTGGAATCTCTCAGTGAGGGACTGGGATGTGGCTCAGTGGTGGAGCATCTGCCTAGAATCCCCCAGTGAGGGACTAGGTGTGGCTCAGTGGTAGAGCACCTGCCTAGAATCCCTCAGTGAGGGACTAGGTGTGGCTCAGTGGTAGAGCACCTGCTTAGAATCCCCTAGTGAGGGACTAGGTGTGGCTCAGTGGTGGAGCACCTGCCTAGAATCCCCCAGTGAGGGACTAGGTGTGGCTCAGTGGTAGAGCACCTGCCTAGAATCTCTCAGTGAGGGACTGGGATGTGGCTCAGTGGTAGAACACCTGCCTAGAATCCCCCAGTGAGGGACTAGGTGTGGCTCAGTGGTAGAGCACCTGCCTAGAATCCCCTAGTGAGGGGCTAGGGCTCAAGGTCCTGCATTCAACTCCCAGTACCCTCCCCACACACAAATGTTCCTGGTAGCATCCTGTGGGTATGACAGCCCCAAGCCCGTTCATAGTAGATGAATGAACACTATGAGACTGAAGGAGTGGCTGAGGGTGACATTGAGGAGAGGGTCTGGGGAGGGGTGCAGGTCTCTCAGGGGTGTGCACACTCACTGAGCTGCTTGTTTGGAATTACTACAAGTTTCTATTTGCAGAAGCATCGGCAAGGTGGCAGTGCCAGCTCTGAGGAGGGGGGGAGGCTGTGTCCACGTAGTCCCCTCCGTGCTCCCCAGGCTGTGCCCTGCTCTATGGAAATGAGACTGAAGTCCTGGGGGTACTGTCTGAGGTCTGTCAAGTCACGTCTGAAATCCCAGGTCGCCCCACCCCATCTCCGTGTCCCTCCACACTCCCTTAGCATAGGTGGGTGTTTTCAGATTCTTTCAAGACTTTGTGTTGTTTGTTTTCTTTCCTTTAAAAAAACTGAGTGTGATCACTGGGTGTGGTGGTGCACGCCTTTGATCCCAGCGCTCGGGAGGAGGAGGCAGGTGGATTTCTGTGACTTCCAGGCCAGCTGTTGGCTACAGGGAGACCCTGTCTCAAAAACAAAACAAAACAAAACAAAACAAAACAAAACAAAACAAAACAAAAGAGTGTGGGGGTGGCTGACAAGATGGTTCAGCAGGTAAGGATGCTTACCACTAAATCTGACAATCTGAGTTTAATCCCTGGAGCCCACATGATGGAGTGAGTTGTTCTGCAAGGTGTCCTCTGACTTCCATTTACACACTGTAGAACACATAAACACAATTAAATAAATTAATTAAAGTGTGATAAAAATTAATAAAACTTTATGACAAGGGTACACGTCACAGTGCATGTACGGTTAGAGAATACCTTGTAGGCTCGGTTCTCTCCTTCTAGGGATGTTGGTCTCAGGGATGCAGCTCGGCTCATCAGGCTTGGTGATAAGTGCCCTCACCCGCTGAGCCATCTCTTCAGTTCTGCTTTGTTTTCATTTTGAGATGGGATCTGCTCTGAGCCCTGGCTAGTTCTGGAAGTCGAGGTCCCATTGCCTTAGCTTCTAGAGTACTTGGGTAACAGGTATGTGTCTGTTGGGATAAAGCCTGCAGCTGTCCCACAAGTCGTATTAGCCCAAAGCCACCTCCAGGTCAGGAGTGTGTAAGAAGGGGGCTGGGAGCCCTGCATGGTACCTGTCTCCACCTTCCGGGGTGAGCTATGGAGACCCCCATGCAAGAAGCAGCCATCTGGAGAGTTATTTGAGGAGTAAAGACAAACTGTGTTCTCCCTCCTCCCCTCCCAGCACCCTGGCTCCCTTTAGGATTTGGGGTACCTGCGGGGCCATGCAGGAAGAGCACAGACCTTGCCAGGTGGAGTTCTGCAATCCCTAGTTGTCCCTGCCCCCTCCATGTTTGTGACTGGCCAGCCCTGCGCCCCGCCCCCCTCACCTCATCATGGCATTACCCATCACCTGCGGGGCGTTCTTTCAAACAGGAATCTCTGTGCCTTGGTTATTATCGGATAATGAGACATTGATTTCAATAAGAATCGCTTCCATGATTCATCACAATCCATTCTCCGGGTACGCACCCGTTTTGGCAATGGGAACTGTTCTGTACGCTCATTGAGACGCCGTAAGTAAGGATAAAGCACACATTGTGTCAATTTATAGTAACGGAGCTGCATAATCGCTCTCGGAATGAACAATCCACCCATTCTGTGCCCCGCTGGGTGTGGGCCGTGCGCGGTCCATGCATAGTGCGTGCTCTGTGCAGGACGCCTTGCCCACGCGGCCTGAAAAGGAATCTTGTCCCGGTCCCTTCTTGGGGCAGCTCAGCAATGGTGCCCAGCCGGGGGCTCCAGTGGGCTTCTGGCCAAGGGGCTTGGGTGCTTGCCTTGGTGGAAAAGGCCCAAGAGAGAAAGGGCTGGACAGCGTGTGCCCACAGGGGTGACACAAGGGGGTCAGAGGGACACTCAGGCAGTTTGTGAATGGGAAAGTCAAGAGGGAAGTGCTGCCCAGAGCTCAGTGTACTGTAATGATAGCGCCGACTCATTGGGGCGCAACTGGGAAACTGAGGCCCAGAGACTCTAAAAGGTGATCATTGAATGGAGAGCTACTTGGGAGGCTTTGGGATATACCATTTGCCTCCTTCTGGGCCTGACTGGTCCTTAAGTGGTTGTGTGTGACCCAGCTATGGCTCAGAACAGGCTGAGGTGGGCAGCTGTTCCACAGGTCATACCAGCCCAGAGCCACCTCCAGGGCAGAATGTGCAAGAAGGGGGGCGCAGTTGGGAGGCCTGTGTGGCACCTGTTGATTTTCCTGGGGAGAGCTATGGACACCCCCATGCAGGAAGCGGCCACTGTGACTCACATGTCCTGCTGACCTTTCACTCCTGTTTCCTGAAGGTGTATGTGAATGGGGAGTGGGTGACCAACATCAGCGAGGGGGGCAGCTTCGGGGAGCTGGCCCTCATCTATGGAACCCCCAGAGCTGCCACGGTGAAGGCGAAGACGGACCTTAAGCTCTGGGGCATTGACCGTGACAGCTACCGGCGCATCCTCATGGTGAGTGGAACCCTGCCCAGGAGGCTCTTTCAAGGGTGGGCCATCCTAGTGGAGTCTGACACCCACCAGGAACTCAGGTCCAAGGTTGAGCTGGGCCTCCCTGGTAGACACAGCCTGTGACTCCAGTGAAAAGTACTAGAAGGGATTTGGGAAGTTCCTTAGAAGATGGCAAGATGGTCAGGGATGTCCCCACTGCCTTCCCCACCCTTCCCTTCCAGATATTCTAGAATGTGGTTGTAATGGCTGTATCTCCAGCCACCATTTTGGACCATGAGGCAACTCTGAGACCCAGGGTCCTTCTTAGGGCAGAGGCTAAAAAGCCACTAAGGAAAGTTATAGGCCCTAAGTTGGGAGCTGCTCAGAACATGGGGACCAGTAAAGGGCCCACTGTGGGACAGGAATACAAGTTTTGCCCCAAGGAATCAGGAGGGTTCCAACCCGAGGACCCACAGCTTCCTCCAAAGCCTTGCCTCTAACATAGAGCACTGGAGAGAGCCACTGTGGGGCCTGGGGCCAACTTGGACCCCAGTTTCTTTTGTGCTAGATTGGGTATCCTGGTGAAAACAAAGAGAAGCCATTGGGCAAAGTCTTACAGAATGTTCCCCCCAAATAGCTCCTGACTGGGCCCTGAGCACAGAGGGCACATTCCTTTGCCATGTCCTCTCCTGTCTTGATGCAGTGCCAGTTCGTCTGTAGGGCAGAGGGGCCAGAGCAGCCTTGGAGGTAGCTGCCCCTAGGCCCTTCACTCAGCGAACCCCATTAAGTGAGCACTCAACGTGTCAGGGCTCCTGAACCTCTATGGGCACAAAAATCCAGCACAGACAGTGCAACACTGTAGCCCTTTGTCTCCAGCATGTTCCCCATCTACAAGGACCTGCTGGTCCCAGTGGGAGGGCACTGAGGGCCTCCTCCTTCCTTCCACGAGGATGCAGAGGTTCCCTCTGGGTGCACCTGGCTCCTGGGGTTGCATAAGGTGCCAAGCTGACGTCTCTCCCATCCCTCCCCAGTGTGGTCCACCCTGTGTTGGCTGAGGGACTTTGTGGTTAGAACTTCACATTCAGGGAAGTTCTCAAAGTGCAGAAGGAGCTGGCACTTCCTTTGAGTTAATTTCAGATCCCCAGACACTAAGAATAGCGCATCTGGGCTCCAGAGCCAGGCAGAACTCCGGTGGGGCATTCAGTGGTGTCTCTGTCTGCCAGCACCCATCCCCCATTGGGCAGAGTGCTCCTAACTGAGCTGTGGGGGGCATGGAAGATGAGGGGCCACTGATGTCTCTAGGGAGCTGGCCACATCCCAGAAGGTCAGCTTAGAATCAATGTTCAGGTTGTTAGGATCCTGTGACAACTGACCTGGAAGGTTCCTAAGGGTCAAACAGAGGAATAAACAGAGTACAGCACTGGGCAGAGCTGGAGTTGAATGGGAACCCAGAGCTCTTGGACTTTTCTTTCATTTTAGCCTTGGGTTTTCTGTTTACCTGCACCTTATCAGAGACCTTGTGCCGGCAGCTAGTTGAGTGTCAGATTCTCTGGTAGAGGAGCTAGGGGTGTGGTTCAGTGGGTAGAGAGCTTGTTTAGCATGTAGGAAGCTCTGGGTTCCATCCCCAGCACTGCATAAACCAGGTATAGTTGCACACACCTGTAATCCCAGAATTCAGGAGGGTGAGGTGGAAGAATCAGGAGTTCTTGGCCATCCTTAGTGACGTAGCAACTTTGAGGCCAGCCTGGGCTACATGGAACCCTGTCTCAAAAACAAAGCGAAACAAAACAAAAACACCACATACATAAATTAAATTACAATTGTGTGGTAGTAGCCAGACTGGGCTTTCCTGAAGCCCCTGACTAGGGTGAACTAAGGCCCTGGGAGCCTATGTCCCAAGAAGATATGCACCCCCCTCCCATTGTTCCCAGTGCCCACTGACCCAGGAAACTTCCGAAGGCCCCATGTCTTGAGTGATTCTTAAAGCCATCACCACAGGGTCTGGGCATCCTCCACTCTTTGGCACAGCATCTGCAACCTCGATGTACCCTCAGCTTTTGTAGGGTTTCTAAGATGGGCTTAAAGTCCTGTAGTATCTCACAGAGGGGAGTAGGCAAGGATTCCTCCCCCTACCCCACTAAGGCTCTTGGGCAGTGGAAAACTTCGTGCGTGTAAAATGGTTGAGAAGCTTCTATGGAACCAGTGTTCATGGGGCGGGGCTGGGGATAGAGGGAGCTCCAGTTATGGAGAAGCTTCTGCCAAGCTCAGAACTCCCTGTCCTGGGATGCTTCAGTCACCCTGGGCTGTCCCAGTTGTCCTGGGCAGCATGGGTTGCCCAAGTGAAAGAGAGTCTGCTGGAGGCTGAACTCGGATCTCCTGCTCTAATGTTCTGAGCCCACGGGACTGCAGAGTGTGCTATAGATGGTGTTTGGTTCTCAGTACTGTGTGTGGTGGGAGAGAACAGGTTAGATCCCAGATCTCAGTGCCCTGCCTGTGACACCCTGAGAGCAAGGTGGGTCCTGTGACAGTTCTGTGTGTTCACCATGAGCACTCTTCCTGTCCTTCCCACTCAGGGCTCCTCTGCTGGTTCCTTGCAAACTCAGGCATCCTATGCTCTTGGGGGAGGGGGCAAGGACCTGGGGACTGCAAGTGGTGAGCACGTGGTCTTTTCTTCTCTTAAGGTCACTTGTATGAAACCTTTTACTGAGGTTGCTGTGATAAAATACCCAGGCACAAGCAATTTAGGGGAGAAAGGCTTTGTTTTAGCTCACAATTTCAGGGTGCAATCCCATCACTTTGGGGCATCACAGAGGTAGGAGCTAGAGACAGCTGGTCATATCGTATCTTTCTCCTTTTGATTCAGTCCAGGACTCTTAATGGTACCTCCCACATTCATGGTGGGTCTTCCCAACTCAATTAACCCAACCAGACACATCCACGGGCCAGCCTAAGCTAGACCATCCCTCATTGAGACCCCCTCCCCATTCCAGGGGATTCTAGATTCAGGTTGACAGTTTACACTGACCATCCACAGGGCTTGTGGAGGATCCAGGGGGATGCAGGCAGATCAAGGCCCTGTCCCAGGGGAGAAGACTGGGCCAGGCTCTGCAGGAGGACTCTGGGGCTGAACCTCATTGGAAGCTACCTTGGGTTGCCATCCAGTATGCCATAATGCCTGCCAAGCTGGGGGTCCCCCAGGTCACCAGCTTCCCAGATGCTTGCTCAGTGTTATCTGGTTGGGGTCTTGTTCCTACAAGCAGACAGGCCCTGCCTGGCCTCCTTGCCTCCCTCCATCCAGTAGGAAGCAATCCTTCCTGGCCACTTCCCCAGGCCCCACTGTGCCCTCAGCGTGATCCTGCCTGCTGTGCCAGTGTTAGCATCCCACGTCATAACCCACCTGCATTCCATTCACAGGGCTTAATTGCTGGCCTGTCAGTGGGGACTGTAAATTTTCAAGAGGCCTTTTCTAGGGTTGGTAGGGATAAAATCGTTTGAGCCAGGTCACTAAGGAGGTTGCCACCACCATAATTGTCTCGACCTGCACCAATGGGTTCTTTCTCGCCAGAGCCTGAACACTGGGTTTCCAGTAGTGTTCTCTTGTTGTCATGGAAATGAGCTTGTTCAGGCACTTGCTAGCAGAGCCACCATCTTACTACTGTGCTCCAGATGGCTGGGGACAACTTAATGAGGTTTGTCTGGTGCCCTGGGCTGTGCATGAGTCCCAAGCCCTGTTGGGACTTGTATCGGCTACTTTTCTTGTTGCTGTGACAAAAGTATCTGCCAAAAAAAATTTAAGGAAGGAAGGGTTATCTGGCTCACAGTTTGAAGATGCAGTCCATCATGGTGGGAAGGCATGGCGGCAGGAGTGAGAGGCAGCTGGTCACATGGCATCCACAGTCAGGAAGCAGAGAGATGGATGCTGCTGCTCAGCTTGCTTGTTCAGTCCAGGACCCCAGCCCAGGGATAGTGTCACCACATTCAGGGTGGGTCTTCCCGGCTCAGTTAACTGAGCTTAAAACTCCCTTATAGACATGGCCGGAGGTGTGTCTTCTAGGTGACTCTAGCTCCTGCCAAGTTGACAGCTCCTGCCAAGTTCACAGGGCTTTTCCTGGGAAGCTCTGGATGTTGAGAGCTCAGGAGGTGAGCTGGAAGTGCTGAGTGTCCTGGGATGGGCAAGAAAGGCTGACCTCGCTAGCAGCTAGGGAGAAGCCCGTGATCTGGCCTCAGGGAAGCTACTCTGAGCGAGCAGTTCCTCCACATCCCACCTCCGTCATGCTTTTACCAGGGCTCTCAGGGACAGGCATTTATTGTCACTTGCCTGTAGTCCAACCCTTCTCCTGATAGCCCCTCTTCCTTCCTCAGAAGACTCATCTCCCTTCCCTGACCTTCTCCCATGCCCCTTGCAGGGTCTCCAGGGCCCACAGGAGGGCACGAATGGCAGGACTGCACTGCCCCTGGGTCTCTCAACTCTGAGTTTGACTCCATGGGCTGCACACTATGTGGAGGGGCCTCCTGCTAGAACCCCTGTTTTCTCATATGATGGAGCCACATGCTGCATGCGGAAGACACAAACATCCTTTACACTCAGCTGAACTTGCCTCCAGAGTTCAGAGCCACAGAACTGTGTTTATATCTGTCGTAGGTGATGTGGAGAGAGGGGAGGCAGGTCTGCGCTTGAGCTGAGCCTTGACTACACTCCACTTTCCACTTCTCCTACCCCTTGGGGCTGCTGCAAATTGTGCCAACATGCCCAGAGCTCAATGTCCAGCCCCATGTGGGGCACTCATAAATGCCACCCATATAGAACAGTCAAGGTTGTCGATGCAGGAGACAAGGCAGATGCTCTGGGACACATCCCTCTAAAGACATGCTTCAGGGAGATCCTCAGGTGTTAGTGGGCTCTGTGTGTCAGTGTTATCTCCCATGTCTGACCCATCTCTCCTTCCCCAACATTTTTGATGTACCATTTTATAAGTAGTGGAAGGGCAGCAGTATTGGTTATTGAATATGGTATGTATAAGAGGGTCCCCAATGCTGCAGTGGGAAGCAGGGCAGGATCCTCAGGGACATCTCTGCCATCATTCATGAGCTTCCCTCAGCACTGCAACAGACACCTGAAGCAGTTGAGAGGGATGTTAGCTGGCTGGGTGTCCTAATATCCTGTCTGGAAGCCTCCAAAAAGACTTCATAAGGGCTGGGCGTAGTGGACTTGTAAACCTGTTCAAAATGCTGAGGCAGGAAGATGCAGGTTAGAGACCAGCCTGGGCTACATAGAGAGAGGCTGTCTCTCAAAAACAAAACAAGTGGGCTGGGCTAGAGAGATGACTTAGTGGTTACAAGTGTTTACTGCTCTTGCCAAGGACCCAAGTTCAATTCCCAGCACCCACATCAGGGGGCTCACAACTGTCTGTAAATTCAGCTCCAGAGGGATCCAATGCTTCTGACCTCTGTAGGCACACATATTTAAAAATAAAGAGCACAACATGTCTTCTGTTAGGATTATAGTTAGCTGGGTATATTAGTCAGCTGTTACTGAGTAACAAGCATCCCCTAACCAAAGTGTCCAATGGCAACAGTGTAGTATATGTTAAGACAGTTTGTAGGTCTTAAGGAAACAGCTTAGCTGGTGGCTGTGGCCTGGAACTCTTCAGGGTTGAGATCATCTGATCCAAAGGGTCCTACAGTGGCCCACTCTGCTCTTCCTCTGAATCCAGGAGGGAGCAGGCCAGGAGTCACTGTGTCTCCTATAATCCAGATTTGGAGATTTCAAACCTGGTGGTTCCATTCAGTTTGGGGTGGCTTGCAAGTGGTTGGACCCCAGGAGGTGGGCACCACTGGTTCCCTACAGAAGGTGCTGGAAGCTGCTTCAGAAGCCACAGAGTTGGGGGCTGGGAGGAGGAGACATTGGTGGCTCACACAGACAGGAGTGTGACCACCATAGGGCATTGGGACTTAAGATGATTAAAAGAACTTGCTCTGAAGAGACTGGGGGGCGGTGTTGAAAACCTTGGAAGACCCAGACCCAGGCTGGAGGCCCACTGACTGTTCACTCTCCACAGGGCAGCACACTGAGGAAACGGAAGATGTATGAGGAGTTTCTCAGCAAGGTGTCCATCCTAGGTCAGTGCTCTGCTGCTGGCGCAGCTGCGGTCTCCTGTGAGCACCTGTACCCAGCCCTCACCTCCTCTTCTCTGTGACTAGCAGTTCATGTCTGCCTGGTGTTGTGCAGGCTTAGGGCATGCATGCTCACACATGAACACATGCACGTGTGTGGCTCATGGAGTGATGTGTGGTCATATATACACATGGTACACACATTTGCACACATACATGTGAACATAAACATTCATGCACAGATGTTCATATGTGTGGATTCATTTTCATGTATACCCAGTTGTGGCTCACATTCATATGCATGTACATACAACCATGGAACACATTAATATGTGTGTCCATATCATATACATGCATACATTTATGTCATGTTTATATACATGGGAAAACATTCATGACATACATTCACACATGCATACACTCACGGCACACATTCTTATGCATGTACATAAATTTGGTACACATTCATATATGCACACACACACACATGCTCATGGTGTGCCCTCACATATGGCCACACATGCTCACGCCACATGTAGTATACCCACATTCATGCACATACACATATATTCGTGACACCAATTCACACATATGAATTCACATTGGTGGTGCACACTCACACATGTGCACATGCATTCGAAGGGCACATTCACACATGTGCACTTTCACAGTGCACCTTCGTACATGTGCATGTCCACACTGTACCACTGGCAGGCATGACTGTCATCCTGTCAGCATCCCCACCCTCCCCATGTCTGTCTGTCTTTGATGCTGCCATCCCTGCTCCACCGATTCTGAGCTGAAAGCTCTGCCTTCAAGTAGCTGGTGAGCTGTGCTAAGCACCTTCCCTGGTCCCTTCTGGCTCACCCTGAACATGGCTCTCCAGTGATATCCCTGTCCCTCCCTGGGGGCTGTGGAGGGCTGCTGCCAGTCCCTCCCTGCCTCTGCCTGTGCCTGCATGTGCATGGTTCAGATGCTCTGAAATGTGTTGTTCCATTTAAAACTCTGGGGCCAAATACTCGCTGTCTCCCTTACAGTTATTTCTTACAGTTTTCACCTAAGATGTATGGTGTTGGGAAATAAAATTATTACAAGTCTTGCTTTCCAATATAGCACATTTTAAATGTCATAGGGAAAAACCTTACACTTAAAAATGTGGAAATAAACAGTGTGTGTGTGTGTGTGTGTGTGTGTGTGTGTGTGTGTGTGTTGCTAGAAATGCAACTCAGGGACTAGGATTTCCAGTCAGATGCTCTACCACTGAGCCACACCCCAGCCCCTCACTGGGGGATTCTAGGCAGGTGCTCTACCACGGAGCCACACCCCTCAGCCCCTCACTGGGGGATTCTAAGCAGGTGCTCTATCTCTGAACCACGCCCCTAGCCCCTTATTGGGGAATTATAGACAGGTGTTTTACTGCTGAACCATGCCATGCCCCCAGCCCCTCACTTGGGGATTATAGACAGGTGCTCTACCACTGACCCACACCCCCAGCCTGTAGGCAAACACCCTAACTGCAGCCTCTTATTGCATTCAGTGTTCCGTATCTGTAGTCCGGTCCCATTTTGCATCGATTTCCTCCTGACTCAGTTTGTATTTTTGCTCAAACACAACTTCATTCTGCAGTGGATGCTGTGAATTGCTCCTCTGGCCTACATGGAATAACCTCAGTTCTGAATGACTTGGCAGCTTCTGTCCAGTTCACTTTCTGTTGCTGTTTTTGTCTTGTTGAGGCGTGGTTTCACGTAGCTCAAGCTGGCCTCCAACTCCCTTAAGTAGAGAAGGCTGCCGCTGAACTTCTGATCCTACTGCCTCCATCTTCCAAGTGCTGAGGTTATAGTCCTGAGCCGGTATGCCCAGCCAACCAGATTTTTAAAAAAATATTTTATTATTTTATGTGTATGAGTGTATTGCCTGCATGTATGTGAGTGCACCCGTGTCATGCAGTCAGAAGAGGGCTTCAGATTCTCCTGGAACTGGAGTTAAGGATGGTTCGTAGCCGCCATATGGGTGCTGGGAATTGATCCCGGGTTCTCTGCAAGAGCAGTCTGTGCTCTTGACTGCTGAGCCAACTCTCCAGCCCCAGCCAGTCAGATTTTTAAAGAAAGCCTGTAGCAAACCACACGTGGTAGTGCAATTCCATAACCCAGCACTTGGGGGCTGAGGCAGGAGGAGCATAAAACTTGGGCAGCAGAGGCAGGCGGATTTCTGTGAGTTCAAGGCCAGCCTGGTCTGCATAGTGAGTCCCAGGCCAGCTGGCGCTACAGGGAGACCCTGTCTCCTAAAAAAAAAAAAAAAATTCCAGGCTAGTGTTGGCTACATAGAGAGACTCTGTCTCAATAAAAAAAAAAAAAAAAAACCCACCCCCCCCAAAAAAAATGGGGGGGAGGAAGAAGAAAGAGGAGAAAGAAAGGAAGGGAAAGGCAGAGGGAAAGGAGGAAGAGGAGATGAGAGAGGAGGAAGAGAGGAGGAGGAAGAGGAGGAGGAGGAGGAGGAGGAGAGGGGCAGGAAAGGAAAAAGGAAAGAGAATTGAAGAGAAAATCAAAGTGGACCCAGGGCCATGGCTGGGTCCTCGCAGCCCCCGCTGCACAGCAGGGTTCTCTGTGACCTGGAGTGTATGGGAAATGTGGCTCTTTTCAGTGTGAGGCATGGGCTGGGGATTCAGGGGAGAGAAATCTCCTTGCTAACCTAGTTCTAAAATGAATGCCTTTTAAATCTTTATTTTTAGCAGCTGGCCTACATATGTAGCGTCTGAGCATAGGCCAAAAAGGATTTTTTTTTTTGTTTTGCTGAAAAAAAGTCAGTTAAACAGGTGACCATGATTTTATCATATAAAAATCTCACATTATTATTTTTTTTCTTCCTGTCTGAGAGTTGGGGACGGACAGGGTCAGGGAAAGGAAGGTGTGAACAGGCTGCAGAGGCCTGTGTTTACAAGCTTTTAAAGATAGACTCAACACTGGAAATAAGCATTTTGGTCTAAAATAGTGGCAGGTGTGGCTCTCCCAGATATCACATAAATGCTAGACATGGGAGTTCACATCTATAACCCCAGTATCCAGGAGGCGGGGGCAGGGGGACTGCTGTGAGGCCAGCCTGAGCTACACAAGGTTCATTTCTGTTGCCATGATAAAATACCCTGAAAAAAAGCAACTTAGGCAAAAAGGGTTTGTTTTAGCTCAATTCCAGGTTACAGTCCATCCTTGGGGGGGGGGGGGAGTAAAGTGTCAGGAGCTACAGACAGCTGGTCCTATCACATCCACAGCCATGAGTAGATGAGTAGAAAGAGAATGGATGCAGGCAGACTCAGAGCTCAGCTCACTTCCTCTAATACAGCCCAGGACCTCAAGCAAGGAATGGTGCTGCCCACAGTGGGCACATCTGCCTTCATCCATTAAGGCAGCCAAGACAGTCCCCCACAGAGATACCACAGGCCCCCTGAAGTAGACAGTCCCTCATTGAGACTCTCTTCCCAGGGTGATTCTAGATTGTTAATTGTTGATTCTAGTTGGCAATTAAAACCAACCTCACACAGTGAACTCAGGGCCAGCCTGGAAGATACAGTGAGACCCCGTCTCAAAAACAGACAAACAAGGGACTGGAAAGATGGCTCAGTATAACAACTGAGGATCGGAGTATGAAGACCAGCGTTTGAATTCTCAGAATCCAGATAAATGCCCAATGGGTGCAGTGGCAGCCTGCCTATAATTCCTGCTTTCAAAGGTGGAAACGGGATCCCAGAGCAAGCTAGCTAGTGAAACTAGCCATATGTATGAACTCTGGGTTTGATTGAGAGACCCTATCTCAGTGAATAAGGTGGTCGGGGGATGACTCCCCACATCAACAGCAGGCCTCCACATACACACAGACCCCCACACCTGCAAGCACATCTCTCTCTCTCTCTCTCTCTCTCTCTCTCTCTCTCACACACACACACACACACACACACACACGAATGGAGACATCAACTCAGCTCCTAGTCCTTGCCCTGCTGAGGGTGAGGCTGCTGGGCATCCTGCTGGCTTTACTGTATTGTCCTAATGTGTTCAGTAGCTGTGGAACTTGGCTGTGATTCCATTATTTGCAAAATATACTCAGCCTTATTCTTTTGTAGAGAAAGCATTTTCCCTCTAAGTTAATGTAGGCTCAATGTTCAGTGCTTGCTGTTTACACTGTCGGGTCATTGATGAGTGTTTTCAAACTGTGTCTTCCTGAAAAGATGAAATAGGAGCCAAATGTTATCTTGCCTTATTATTATTTTTTTTTGTGCTGGATATGGAGCCCAGGGTCTGGCACGTGGTGGGTAGGCACTGTACCACTGAGCCACGCTGCTAGCCCCTCACTGGGGGTTCTAAGAAAATGCTCTACCACTGAGTTTCATCTTCACATTTAAAAAAGTTTTATTTATTATTTTTATTTTATGTGTATGCGTGTTTTGCCTGCATGTATGTGAGTGTACCCATGTCTTCTTCACATTTTTTATGTTTTATTTTGAGATAGGGTCTTACTAAGTTTCTCAGACTGCTCTTGAACCTAACTCTGTATGGCAGGCCTGCCTTGAATGTAATCCTATCTCAGCCTCCCAACAGCTCAGGTGACAGGCCTGTGCCACCATGCCCCAGAGTGGGAAGGTCCTCAGCTGGCCTTTTGGTGTATTGTGGTTTCTGCTGCTGTGTGTTATCTGTCACCTGTCAGACACAGTGCATCATCAGGGATCTGAGACAGGCTTTCTGAAGATGGATCTGAGGAGAGGGGCAGCTCAGGACTCCCCTGGTGGTGAGGTGCAGCCTGTGACCCCTTGTCCTCCTCTGGCAGAGTCCCTGGAGAAGTGGGAACGCCTGACTGTGGCTGATGCCTTGGAGCCTGTGCAGTTTGAAGACGGAGAGAAAATCGTTGTTCAGGGGGAGCCAGGAGACGATTTCTACATCATCACTGAGGTAAGTCCCTGGGGACTGCAGTGCCTGGGGCTGTGGGTGGTGCCTTGCTGGCAGACCCTCTGAGGACCCTCAGCTGCCTTCATCCAGTGCCTCTGTCTCACTCTCCCAATCTCCACATCCTCCCCCTCACAAATGTCCACGCGGGGCAGTGAAGTGACAGTTTCCCCCTGCCACTGCATCTCTGCTGCTGAGATCAAAAGGGTCTCTCCTTAAAAATGGTGGCTGGTGTGACGGCATCACACACACACACACACACACACACACACACACACACACACACGTAATGGGAAGATGGAATAACATGGGTAGATGGGTCCGTGTCAAAGCTCTGTCTTTGTGTGCTATGTGTGCAATGTTGCCAGTGGGGAAAGTGTATTTCAGGTACACTATCTCTCTCTGTGCATTAGTCAGTTTTCTGTTGCTGTGATAAAATGCCTGAGATAAACAGCATAAAAGAAGGAAAGATTGTGGCTCAGCCTCAGAGGTTTCAGTCCTTGGTCTCTCAGCTCCATCCCCTTTGGGCTGTGGTGAGGCTGAGCTGTGTGACAGGAGTTCATGGTGGGACAGAAGCAGAGCTGTTCACTTTATGGTGGACAGGAAGCATGAGAGAGAAGGAGAGAAGGACTGGGGCCCTGGTACCACCTTCAAGGGCATTTTTCCTATGATCTGATTTCTTCTCTCTACATTCCATGTCCTGAAGTTTTCTCCACCCCTATCAGCACCATCAACTGGGGGTCCAGGCTTCAACACATGGATCTTTGGGGACCTTTAAGAGCCAAAGCATCTGGATATGGGGGTGCATGCCTGTGAACCCAGCCCTTGGGAGGTGGAGGCAGAAAGATCAGGAGTTCAAGGTCATCTTCAATTACAGTGTTGAGGCCACCATGGGCCACAGGAGACCTTGTATCAAAAAGAACAGAAAAAAAAGAAGAGGAGGAGAAGGAGGAGAGAGAGAGAATGAGAGAGAGAAGGAGGAGAGAGAGAATGAGAGAGAGAAGGGAGGGAGGGATAAAAAGGGAAGGAGGGAGAGAGACAGAGAAGGGGAAGGATGGGTGGAGTCAGGATCTGGAGATCTGTGTGGATCTTTTGCACAGAACACACATGGGTGGTAAAGTTGGGCAGGTACAGTTGGGCATATGTGGGGCTCAATTTCCCCAGAGACTTCATTTCAGATTTCTGTCTTGGGAACTCTCCAGCCCTGCCTGCCTAAGCTCTTTCTCCCCACCCACAGGCCCTTTGCAAAGTGACCTTCCTCCAGAAAGATCTAGAAGGCTGCAGGCTAGAGAAGGAGTGGGGACCGTGGCATACAGTGGCTGCCCAGCCCCTGGCGGTGTTATGGTTTGGATGGGGAGTATCCCACGGCTGGTGTGTTTGAGCTCTTGGTACCCAGCCCCCGGTGATGGTGCTGTTAGGGGAGATTGTGGAACCTTCTGGACTGTGGTCTAGTTGTCAGAAATGGGTCACTGGGGGTAATATATGCTTCTGGTCCCTTGAGCCCTCCCTTGGCTCCCTGATCCACCAAGATGTAGCAAGCAGCTGCCACAGGCTCCCACTGTCACAGACCCCACCACTCCACCATACCTTCCCATCATGATGGACTGAAACCGTGCGCCAGGATAAATATTCCTTCCTTAAGTTGCTTCTGTCCAGTATTTTGTCACAGTGAAGAGAAAAGTAATACAGGGATGTCAGGGGCACCGGGAACCTGTTTCTTCCCTGGATGAGGCACCAGGGCAGTATTAACAGGGGCCTACGAATCTCTGGGTAGCTCACGGATGCAGGTGTGGGAACCCCAAACTCCTTGACCTGCAAAGGACTACAGGCTAAGCACATACAGGTTTATATGAATGGGATTGTCTCCACCTCTAGTCACCAAAGGCTTTGAGGAGGGCCTTAGGGGGCCATGCCATACTGGGAACCATTTCCCATCTGCCTTCCTAGCCCTTATTCAATGCTGCTTTAAAAAGAAGAGAGAAGGGCTGGGCATGGTGGCTCAAGCCTTTAGTCCTGGGACTCGGGAGGCAGACGCAGAGGCAGGCAGATCTCTGAGTTCAAGACCAGCCTGGTCTACATAGAGAGTTCAGTTCCAGGCCAGCTGGAGCTACAGGGAGACCTTGTCTCAAAAAGACCCCCCCCCAAAAAAAGGAAAAACTGAGAAGGGGGCTAGGGAGATGGCCTAGTGAGTAAAGGCACTTGCTGCCAAGCCTGACGACCTGAGTTTGATCCTCAGGACCCATGTACTGGAAGGAGAGAACTGATGTGCATGTGAATGTGTGCACACATTAATAAGTGCATTAATAAAATTTTAAAGAAAGGAGAAAAGACATCTACAAGCAGAGCAAATGACTGTTCTGGTCAAGGCTAGAATGAGCTCACGTCCGTGCTCCAGGCACCCCAATTCCCAAGGCTCAGGCCCGTGTACAGCCTGAGTCCAGTGCTCTGTCACTGCCCCAGGGGATGAGAGTGTCAGGGCCACACGGGTCTTCTCAGGCCTTTCTTTCTAGAGTACTCCCTCGGGCCTCAGCCTTATCCTGCCATAGTGGAAGGGAACCTGGGGCCTGTGTGGTTATCTCAGGGCCACCCATCTGACACATGATCCAGCAGAACACAGCTCTCAGGTTCAGAGGACAGGATGGTGCATGATGATGTCCCCTTGGGAGCTGTGTAGCGCCTCCAGCATCTGCTGCACTACCAACCTACCTCCTGCCCCACCCCCCATATTTCTGTAAGTTTGTCTCCTGTAAGTTCATCTGTATGTGGTCATGAATGTGCTCTTGTGCTGTACTGGGTGTCTGTAGAGGCCCAACATCTGGTTGAGCGGTCACGTTTTGCTGGGTGTGGTGGTGCACACCTGTAACCCCAGTACTTGGGAGACCAAGGCAGGAGGATTGTGGGTTCCAGTCCAGCCTGGGCTACATAGAGTGACCCTGTGTCAGAAAGAAAACAAAAAACAACAACAAAAGGAAGAAAGAAATCTTTGGCCACAACCAGCTGAGCTGAGTGACAGGTGCCCCTTGGAGGGTGCTCCCTGGTTGACACCGACTCTACCCACTTAAGTGGGGTCTCTGCCAGTGCCTGCAGGGTTCTGAGTTTATAGCCTCAGCACCAATGGTTTGTGTGAAGAAGAACTCTGGCTCCATTGTTCACCACAGTCTCCCATCCAAGTACCACCCAGGCCTGACCCTGCTTAGCTTTCAAGACAAAGTGAGATCTTATTCCCTGTGGGCTAAGGCCCCGCATGGAAACAGCACAAGTGTGTGTGGCAGGGGCCAGCAGTTGTCTTGGACAGGCCAGGATCTAGGTCTGTTGTCTGTACAAGTAGGGTAGGGAGGCTCTCCTAGCTCCACTCCTGCCTCCCTGGGCTCTACCTGCACATGACCAGCATGCACCACAAGTACACAGGACTCCTCATACCTGAACTCCACATCTAAGCTTGTGACTTTCCTGCGTGTTTCTGAGTATGTGTGTTCACATGTTTGTGTACACACGTATTCACATGGGTGTGAAGGCATGGAGGTTGGAGGTTATTCTTTAGGAGCCATCCACTGTAATTTTTTTGTTTTGAGACAGGGTCTTCCTGTAGCCCCAGCTGGCCTGGAACTCACTATATAGACCAGGCTGGCCTTGATCTTCCAGAGATCCTCCTGCCTCTGCCTCCTGAGTGCTGGGATTAAAGTCACATGCCACTACAACAAACTTTAAAACATTTCTGCTAGGGATCCAAACTCGGTTCTTCCTGCTTGTTGTGAACTTGACACACCTGGTGGAGGGAGCCTCAATTGGGGAATTGCCTCCATTGGACTGGCCTGTGAGGCATTTTCTTGACTATTGAGTGATGTGGGAGGGCCCAGCCAACTGTGGGTGGTGCCACCCCTGGGCAGGTCATTCTGTACTGTATAAGAAAGCAAGCTGAGCATGGGCCAGGAGAGCAAGCCAGCAAGCAGTGATCCTCCATGGCCTGTGCTCTAGCTCCTGCCTCTAGGTTCCGGCTCTGAGTTCCTACCTTGGGCTCCCTCAGTGATGAACTGTGACTCAGGAGATGTAAGTGGAATAAACCCTTTCCTCCCTAAGTTGGTATTGGTCAGCGTGTTTTGTCACAGCAATGGAGAACATGTCACAAGCACTTTACCCACGGAACTGTCTCCTAGGCCTGTGTTTGGCTTTTTGAATCATAGTCTCACTCTATAGTCCAGGCTGGCCTTGAACTTGAGGCAATCCTCCTACCTCAGCTTCCTGAGTGGGATTGGAGGCAATGGGACAGGACTGGACCAGCCTTTCCAGGAGTCTTGGATGCCCCAGGTGCAGAAACATTTCCAAGAAGGGCCACAGTGATGGAAGTTGCTGCTTCCCAGAGTGACTTGTACCTTCATTGCCTGGGGGAGAGGGAGAGGTTGGAACTCAGTCAAATGAACAGGGCATCATTTGGGCTGCTGGTAGTAACCCAACCCCAGGGGTAGGCATAGCTTTCACAACCTTGTAAAATGTGTTTGAAGTGGTCTCCTTGGTAACACAGATTTTTTTCCCCCTTCTTCCTCTATGATCAGCTGAATCTGGTAAGTCACCTCCAGACCCCAGGTCCATGGGGAATCAGACACTCAGATCTGAAATGCCAGTAGGGAGCTGTGCAGCAAGGCCGGCTGTGGCCATATCTAAGCCATAAGCCATGTGTGCATTGAGGACTAGTCTGGCTCCCTCTGGAATGAGGGCAGGCGCCTAGCGGCCATGTCTGAGCGTCTTCCGTTCTGTCGTTCTCAAGGCGCACTTGAAGTCTCCTGTTTTGCATTGCTGGGCCCGCTGCATGCTGTCTCACATCCTGCCTTGAGCTACAGTTGTGTTTACTTGGTGTGGATTTTCTGGAGTTGTTTTGTGACTCTGTCTTGGCAGCTCAAGGACTCCGTTATCCCTAGGAAACTGGATGCAGCATCTGTGTCTTGCTTCCTTCCGTCCCCATTCTCAGCCAAGGGGTCTCCCCCTGTCCCTGAGTCTTAGGATTCTGGGTG